AGAGTAAGTTTAGATTGGACATAAGAAGCTCTTCCCGGTGAGGGTGGTGAGGCAGTGGCACACGTTGCCCAGAGAAGCTGTGGCTGCCCCATCCCTGCAAGTGTTCAAGGCCAGGTTGGATGGGGCTTTGAGCAACCTGGTCTGGTGGAAGGTGTCCCTCCCATGTCAGGGGCGTTAGAAATAGAGGATCTTTGAAGTCCCTTCCAACCAAACCATTCTATGATGATTCTATGAATTTACAGTAATTTATAGGCACTTGATGAACACACAATTGCAATGATGTTACACATTTCTAACATTATCTGGCTAGTTCCTTGATAACAAAAAGTCTTTTTCTTAAAATTCTTGCATGGTTGTATGTCATACTTGTATGTAGTTTTTTATATTTCTGTAATTGCAGAAATTCTCGTTTCCACCGTAATTTGTTTCCTACCTAGCCCAGAAGCATCCACTTTTACATAGCTGATTTATATCTTTGGCAGCATATATAGCACTACACAAAGATGCAGTCTTCCCAGTCCCAATGTTGCAAAAGTACACATAATACCATATATTCTTCTAAAATAAAATATACTATTGTAATTATTTCTATACTTAATTGATTAAGCTTTGCTTTTTGTAGCACTTAAACTATTATGTTTTCTAAATACACCATGTATGTTTTCATTTAAAGGCTCTGTTTTTGAGGCCAAGACTCTTAATTATTCTAGGATCTGATCAGCAGTAATCATTATTTCTTCCCTAACAACAACTCAGTCTGACTCTGGTAGTGTATTTCTCCTTCTTTCCCTTCTATTTGTCCATCTGCTGTTTATACAGTAACCCAGGCAGGGATGGATGATAACAGGATTCACTTTGAACACTGGCAGCACCTCAGCATCAGAGGCATGTGGACTTTTAGCCTTATACTTCTCTGTGGAAAGGCACTATCTCGATTGAACCATTTAGCGCTATCCCCTAAGTCAGCACCATCACACTCATGCCTTGCTTTGCACATAATATTGCGCTACAGCTTCAATCCCTTCTAGAGTTTTACTTTCTCAGTGTTTTAACTCAGCAGGCTCCTATTTCAGCCGTTAATTTCTCGCCTTTGCTTTTGAAGTCTGAATTTCCTGATCCAGCCTGTATGTCACTGACTACACCACCCATACGCTGTCTCACTTGATCTCTTTACAGGAAAGTTTTGGCGTTAACACTTTGAAGTTTGCAAACTCTTGGTCAGTATGTGCATTATGAAAACTGGGCTCTGAGTGCTTGAGCAACCCCATTCCCCAATTCCAACAGTTCTTATAAAACAGTGATGAGGTGTAAGCAAGATGCTTGCCAGGATGACAGGAACACACGTTAGCTGCATTCCAGGTCTTCTGTGATCACTGGAAGTTGCCATCCACAGAAAGGCTTTCACAGAAAAGCTGCTCGCGGTCTTTGTTACACTTACAGTCTTACTATGGTCCCAAAGGAAATGCACACCTTATACACAAAGTCAAGAAGCCATTGTCTGGCTAGCTAAAGTTGTAACAGTCTAATCAAAATGCAACAAACAAATTATTAGTCCAGTTGCAATAATACTGCACAGTCCAAATGATCAGAAAAAGCTTCATTAATAATACATTAAAATTGTTGACTTTTAGCCTTCCTAGTAGAGTTTTGTTCGTCATTGCAATGCGCCATGAGTCCTATGTGCATGGTGCCTGTCTTCCACGAGAATAACAGGGAGAGGGGATGTGTGAAGTCATCAACCGGTGTCCACCAAGTTGTTTCTCAGGAGGAGTACGTTGTTGATGGAGATAAGTTTTTTTTGTCCTCATTCTTGGGTAGAGCTGGTGTTATATTTTCTTTGGTTGCTAACATAGACTGCTTAGCTGCTCTGTTTTCACTGATTCCCAAGTGAAGTTTGACTATCTTTGTTTGACTGTCTTAGTTAAAGACACACAATAGCCTCTGTAGCCTCAGTCTATGGGGTTAATATTTGTTACTGAATAACAGCGTAGGTCAGATACAACTTTACTGTACGTGGTGTTCACAGAGCTGACTAAAACCAAGTTATGCTATTGTTCCCTGGCTGCTAGACAACTGCTGTCACAGCTCAACCAAGCTGAAAGCAGCTCAGGCTGAGACAAGTGCAGACAAATCCTGCATGGATGAATCAAAGCCTCTCACTTTTCCTACTAATGTGAAAATCATCAGTTGACTGGTCTACAGGGCTGTCTTCTGGTTCTTTTCCATGTTCTCTCACAGCCTTTCTGCAGAACAGCGACTAGGCCTTTCCTATGGATGGAATGTGAATATTGTATGGATA